AATTTATCCTTTAAAAAAATAGCTGTATGCATCCTAAATTAACAAGTAAAATTTTAATTTAATTTATTTTTAACTCTAACAGCATTTCTCCATTCTTCCCCACATTTTTTTTATATGTATGTTTAATCGTAATTCTTATGTAGCGCGTTTGCTCATGAAATAGGTTGGTACTTGAATTTGTTAGTTTTAAGATTTTAATTTTTGTATTAAAATGTGGTGTTTTTCAATATTGCTGATTTTTTGTATTTTTCTTGCTCATGAAATAGGGTCGCAGACCGTGACCAAAACTGGAAGAGCCATTTGTTTTTGAATAAAAAACGATTTTCTGCAACGAAGGAAAAAGCCTGATCTCTTCATTTCCATGATCTTCTCCTCAAGTGTCAACTTCTTCAAACAATATTAAATATATGTTTGGAATTCTAACTGCAAATCAATTTCCACCATACTTTGCATTGCAATCAAAAAAGCTATTAATTCTGCGATGAAACTGTTTAAATATCTCAGCTTTTCAGCTCATTTCAACAAGGGCGAGTAGGTTTCCAATCTTAGTCTAACTGGTTTTTTGTGACTTTTCTACTAGGATTGGCTGCCGATTCTAAAAAAATGTAATATTTTCACTCGCCTTCTCGACACTGTTACGTAGTGAAAAAAAATTGGATTTAAAATGATGAAACAAATAAATGACACGAATAATCAAAATGTGAAAGTGGAACTCGTCGTTTGGCGAAGAAAAGGAATTGACTATTCGGAGACGCAATCCAAGGGTCATTTGAAAGACAGAATGCTCATGGAAATGCAACAATGCGGCGCGAGGGCGTCCAGAGCGACGAATTTTCCAAGTGCTGAAACTTGCGCACCGAACATCATAAAAATGCACATTTCACCTTTTTTCGTCCGTGAATAATATTCTTTGCGTACTACGATGCCCAAGAGCTGTGTCACCGCAAAACGTGCTTCGTTTTGAATACATCTGCAATTTGCGCTCTTCTGCGCGATATCTTTTGCAATTTAAATGCGTTGAAAAACGGTGCTTGTTATCAACTCGTAATCGCAGGAGAAATAAGGGAAAAAGCGCTCTACGATAGCATAATCCTGCGCTCTCCTCGGTGAAAATATTTCCAAAAATATTAATTTTCACATCGTTTCAGAGCAAAAAATAAATAAAATCAACGTGTTTAATAAATTAATACTGATGCAATTTAATATTCCTTGAGCACCTTTCAAAATGCACGAAGTGCCAAATTTTAGGAATTGATATTTCTCATACATCAATTATAAAAATCTATAAAAGTAAATGAAAAAAAAAAAACACACACACACACATTTCGGTAGGCTCAAACATAAACCCTTCGTCGGTCTGTGTTTTATTTGCAACAAGCAGGACCCTTCGAATTGAGCCACGTCACAGGAGAAACAAGCATTTAAGTCGCTGTCCATCTCCTTCTGCGAGAATTTAGTTCACAAAAGATCTCACTGCAATTCGGTTTTAATCTAGCATCCCATTTAATGACAGGGCTTGTTCATTTTTGGGGGAAAATTTTATTTAAGAAATTTACTACAGATTAATTCTAATCATAAATCGAACAAAACTATGGATAATTCAAGCATTGAAATTTTTCCTGAATGTTTCTTCTCAACGTGGTCATTGTTTATCAGAGACTTGTGTGGGAAGAGCAGAGAACATCAAAAAAATAAAAATTTTATATATGTGTTCAACAGAAAGCTCTAAATTGCCCATCTCATTCATCTCAAACAAGCTTTATAATTTTTTTATTCTATAAAATGCACAATAATAAAAAATAACTAGGGTAAAATGCCAAATTTTGCCCGCGCCGTATAAAAATATACAGAACGGAATAAAATATAAAATTTTGGAAGCTCATAAAATATGCCGCACCTTTTCGAGACAAACTTTGCAATGCACCCTGAATGCAGGGTTGAAAAATATAAATGAGTTCATAATATGTAACAACAGGAAGGTGAAATCAAAGACGACCTGAAGACGACCTATCATTTTTTATTTCGCTTCATTTTTAATATTTCTTTTGAAAGTGTCCAAAGGAGGCTGTACATGTGGAGGAAAATAAGGAAAAGTTCCATAACAGAGTCACATTATAATTTATAAATTATGTTTTCCCGCAGAATCAAAATGTGAAAGTGGAACTCGTCATTTGGCGATGAACACGGAATCCAAGGGTCATTTGAAAGACAGAATGCTCATGAAAATGCAACAATGCGGCGGGAGGACGTCCAGAGCGACGAATTTTCTGAATGACAAAACTTGCTCCTCCGCGCGCACTGCAGCGACGGAACGCGAGGCAAACATCGCAAAAATGCACATTTCACCTATTTTCGTCTGCGAATAATATTCTTTGCGCAAAAGAGCTGTGTCGCCTCAAAACGTGCACCGTTTTTAAAAAATCTGAAATTCCCGCTCTTCTGCGCGATATATTTAGCAATTTAAATGCGTTGAAAAACGCAAAATTTGGACGCGAGGCGTTTTCTTACCGCGTCGTCAAAGTTTGTATGTCCATTATGCAAATTGTTCTCGTTAAATTCAGATATTAGTATCTTTTATCCAATTTTTAATTTTGAACAGTATAATTATTTACATTTTGACCAAAGCAGAAATTTTTTTCTTAAAATTTAATAGATTTATTTTATTTTAATCTATAATTTAATTTAAAAAAATTAATTATCAGTTATAATTTTTTATAATATATTATTTACAATTTAAAAAAAAGTTTAAAAAAAAAGTAATTGAAAATCTTGATGCCTAATATTTCATATTTTCTTTGTTCTTGTTACTTGTTCAATAAAATGTTACTTAAAAATTAAACTCGTGATCAACGCCAGGCATGCTCAAAATTTTCCACGCGTGGAACAAGTCGCCGCGTATCACTTGGTACGTCATGTAACGCATGTAACAACTATCCAAACGGCTGTGGATCAACTCTCCATGAAACGATTCTCCGTACACCAGCTTGACAGGCTGTACGGCGGCACAGTTTCCAGCCATGTGCAAGGCGTATCTGTGGCAAAAACTTAATACATACTCCCCCTGACCAATGGCTCTAGCGGCCGGTGCGGTGCACTTTTCTTCAAAGAAGAGTGCGCCGTGCTCTAGCAAGTTTTTATATCGAAGAGCCATTTCTCCATTCACCCCTAACCAACTTTCTTATTATGTATTTTTTGTGTTTTCTATTCAATTTTTGTGCATTGAATTGATGTAAGATGTTGTGTATTTCATATTATATTTGAATGGAGAATAAAACAATTAAAAATAAATATATATAAATAAATAGATAATTTTTAGTCAGTTCCCAAATAAGATTTCAAACTTAACAGGAAAATTTCATTTGGAAGATAAATAAAATTATTTTTCAATTTCATGAATTTCATTTCATTCTTTTTTGGATTATGAGCAAGGTTGACGAGTGCTCTGAAAGCACGAGCGCGAGCATTTATTACAAGAGCGTAGAAAAAGATCGCTCTGTTCGCGCTCTTTTTAACTTTCTGGGAATGACATAAAAGGCACTTTTTTCTTGCTTTTTTTCTATATAATAAGAGGCGATCACCTCGAGGTATCAAGTAAACATAAATGGAACTGTGAGCGGCTATCTTATGTGCCCCAAAATTTCAAATAACGCGAAGAAAATCCAAAAGTTTTGTAAAAATTCGGAGGCCATTTTACGCAAGTTGATGGCATCAATTTCGGGAAAATTAATGCGCGAAAGAATTTGAAAATCAACCGAAAATCATTATTTAACTAGAAAAAGGTACTTGCTATAGGCTAGGATTGTCAAACTTTTTAATTGAAGCCAATAAAAAAAAAATGAAAAATATTAACGTATGAGTTGTTTGCCAATAATTTCGCCATTGCGAAAGAAATGAAAACTTGCTAATTCCCAAATTACAATTAAAAGTAATCAAGAAAAAAAGGATGATTCTTGTTTAGGAAAAATTGTAGAATGACGATTTTGTTAATTTAAATTAATTTAAAAAAAAAATCCAAAATCTAAATGTGTGAAAAGAGCGCTCGCAAGCGCTCGAGTTTGGAAAAAATTGAGAGAGCAAGCGTAATTTTTTTTAAAGAGCGCTCGCGGGCCGAAAATTAGCGCGCTCGCCAACATTGATTATGAGAATTTAAAAACCCAAAGAAACCACTCGAAACGGGAAATAATTAAATAAGTAACGTGGAATTACTTTGCGAGACACGAGATACTGAGACAAAACCAGTGTAAAAAAGTTAGAAAATTCCTTGCTGAGATTATAAAAAATTAATTGAGGGCGAAAATTTCCCAAAATTAACATTCCTAAAAACCACCCCAATCTGTCCGTATGTGTTTTGAGCTGGCAAGCAGTTTCGGCAAATGAAGCCTCATCAGCAGCACCTTGCCTCGCGAAACAAATTCCACCAGCAGCAAGCTGCGAAATGATTTCAAGTAATTTTGGCCGGAGTACTCTTAAGAATTAAAAAAAAAAATAATAATATTTAAAAAAAAAAATTATGATAAATACGAATATTTATTTATTTTTCTGATTTGTAGATTAAATTTTTCAGTCAGTTCTTAGGTAAGGTTTTCAATTATTCAAGAAAAGTTCAATTTTACAATGTTTTTGATTAATTAATTTATGATATGAACTTATTTAATGATGGTGACGTAATTTCGCGCAAAAAGTATATTCCAATTGTGCGAGCGCTTAACGAACGAAAAAATAGTTCGCGCTAAGTTTCTTGTCGGCTCAGCAAAGTTCAAAGGCAATAATGGACTAACTTCCTATACAACTGCCGAACAGAAAAGAGCGATTTGAACGCGCGAGCATCGACTTGGGCACATAACGCGAAAAGTGCCGGTTCCTCTCTCGAGGATTTTGTCTTAAATGCGAATATTTCTGCATCGTCTCGATCGCAAAAGGCATACGCACTAGAATGACTCCCTAAATTTTTAAAAACCGAAAATGCGCTGCGAATGAAAACGAAGTTTTTTTGTACTCACTAAAATGCACAAAGGGTCGGTCAAGCTGGTCTGTGGCCGCGTCTCTCAAAGGAAGACTGCGATGCAGCGCAAGTCCAACCAACTAGAGTCCCAACCCTCTGAAACCAAAAATATAAAAATAAATTTAAGCACATGACATGTGATCCCAAAAAATGATGCAAAATTATCAACCTGGAAATTCTCTTATTTTTTTGTCCTCCAAGATGTACATAAATATATTTATTTTTGCGCAACAATATCGCGACAAAGTAAACCGCCAGTTCCTTTATTATCGTAAATTTTCAAAGAAATAAAATAAAAATTAGAAGTGGAAAATAATGCAAAGAAATTCACGGCGCGCGGAAAAAATAAAAGCGCCAAAAGTAGTAAATTCCGTCGCACATATTCCCTGGCAATTGCCGCACGCGGCTAGAATTTGTGTAATCGATCGGGCTGCATCTTTTGGGTGCAAACTGCGACAGAGTAAAACACGCGCTTAGAAATGCCAATAAGAAATTTTATGAAATGACGCGCGTTTTGCCATTATGCTCCTGTGCTTGCCGACGAAATTGTAAATAATTTACTCGGCGTGCCTTGTCGAACCGAAAAGGATGAAATTTTTCTTAGATATTTAATTCACCCTCAAAACGTTTTATAAGGACAAATTTGAAAAACTGAATAAAAATAAATCCATCAAAACTAAGGCGCCTTATGCATACCTTTGGCGAACAAGCCGCGTTGAGAAGGTCGTGGCACTAGTCGTGTCCGGCCAGGTCGTGGCACATTAGCCACGCGCAGAGTCCTCCTTGGGTCAGTCAGTTGACGATTTTCCCTCTTTGCCCTTCTTCAAATCCTGTTTGACGTTGTCCAACTTTACAGGGTTGTCGACGATGAAGACCCTCGTCGAGCAGAGAGAAGACTGGGACGAGGCGACGGACGGCGAGAGCGAAAACGAGCGATTATAGCGGCACTAGCGCCACTGGCTTGCTCGCAGCGCCAATCTCGCGGTGGCCGAATTAGAACTTCGATAGAGCGCATGCGCACGAAGAAACGAACACTTGTGTTGTGTTTTTGGCTTGTTTTGTTTACTACATTATGTATTGTGTTGATGATTATATGTATGGCCGGCATAACAATCCAACTTTTCTTGCAAATTGCTACTAATAATTCAAAATTTCGGATTGAAGAGTGATTTATGACCGATCTAAAAGAGAAAGTGAGTAAAAAAAAAATTTCGGGGAATTTGAGCTAAAATTTGCAGCGATTCAATCGAGCACATGACGCAAAAAAATTGTTCATAATTTTGTTTATTTGGTAGAACTTGGAGTGTTTCGCCACAATAAAAAATGCATTGATATTTTTTTGACTTTTTTTCTTCTAAGAGATGATGGTTTTGGGTGCTATCGTTGCCTGCCTGGAAGTGAGAAGGGATTTTTTTCTTTTCTTAAATCCCTGTTTCTGCCCAGGCCTGTTGCGACATTATTGTGTGCACAGGCAAATTGGTCATGCAGCGCCAGATTGACAAGTTCTCTAGAGGGGCTATAGTTTCCTCTCAACAGCTTGTGTGTTTGAGAAGGCATTTTTCCTTACATAATTCAGCTCGCTTTTCTTTTATTTATATCTAGTTTCAACTTACAACCAGGAAATAACTTAAGTTTTTTAGTTTCATGACCTTTAATATGAAATACAATATTGTAAAGATCTTCAGGTCATTTTCCTGGGAAAAGTTATTTTAAATCAAAATTGCCAAACCTGTGCATAAATTAAAACTAACTGAATAACTTAAATGTAACTTCTTGAGCGCAATTTGGAACTGATATAGACATCTGTCAAATAATCTGCGGTGAAGCTCTCGAGGGCCTCGATTTCTGCTTTCACCTTTTTCTCCAACAAAATGTCAACCTTTAAAAAGAGAGATTAGCAGATAAATAAAAATTTAAAATGCTACACTGTCACAATTTAATTTGAGACCCCACCTGCTTTTTTATGGCAGGATTTTCAATGACGTATGGCCTGTTCAGCAAACTAAGGGCCACCTGGTCGTCCTTTGTTGAAAAAGGAATCAAAACCCTCTCTTTGAACCAGAGCTTATCGATGTCGCTTGGATGAACTCCGATCCATTTGATCTCGGGCATGGCCAGCGCAGCAGCAAATTGGCACATGGCCTTCAAAATATTTAATTAGTTCTCAGTTCATCTTTTTTGCAAAATTAATACCATTGAGCCAAATCTGTATGTACACATGATGTCTATTCCGTGAGGGTCGGCGTCCACCAGGATGAAAATCGGGAGTTTCAGTTTGTCCCAAATCATTTTGACCAGCAACCGAGTGCTCAGGTCTGGATACCCCTTTCCCTGAAATTTAGTTAAAATTTAAATCAGAAATTGATTTTTTTTTTCAACATTTTCACCGTTATCAAAATGCTGGATCCGTAATAGTCCATCAAGTCTCCATCCAGAATTTTGTGGAAAATGGCGTCTTTTTCCACAATGAGAACAAAATTTGCATTGGACTTGAGATTGCTGGCGCTGTAAATGTTTGCAGGAATCAGAACACCTGAAAAAAAGGTGCACAAATTCAATGCAGGCACAGATAAATTTTTTTTATAATTATCTCACCTCTTTTGCAATTGATGCTTCCGTCCTGGAACTTGATTTCAAGGTCTCCTGCGACAATTCCTTTTCCTGCAGAGAAAATTCCAAACTCCCAAGGCGCCGCCTTGAGAAAGTCGCTCATTGTGACGACCCCTTTGTCCAGCATGGCTTGATTCGGCAGCAGAAACTGGTAAAACAGTTCACGCTTGGTGGCAGTGGAGTTGGTTTGCAAAAGCCAGTGCACCCTTTCCATCAGTTGTACCATCAGAGATAATTTGTGGCGACTCTGCCCGCGTTTGATGGAGACGACCCTCTCCTGTTTGTCCTCGGATCGATAGATGAGCCTGAAATTCATTAAACAATTTACAATTAAATTTTGTTGTACATACTTTTGATTGCCTTTATTATTAATTTTTAAATAATTACCGGCCTCCCTTGTACTCAGCGGTCAACCATGAAACAACGGAGTGCTTGAAAGAAATTGGGTTGCCTTTCGAAATGTCCGAAATCATTTGTAATACTGTGTCCTCAATCTTTTTCTTCATTCCATTCCTGCAAAAGCCAGAAACAAGGAATTGGAAATTTTAAATTTAACATGGATTATTTTTCTAAGTTGAAATTTTAATTAATCATTAAAACTAGCAGAAAAAAAACAGTGTAAAATGTATTAAATCATAATTTCTTCTTTTCCCAGTGAAGAGGGTATTCATTTTCATTCTAGGATTGCAACCATAAAATTTATGCAAAATTAAACCTTTTATCTTCTTCTTCTTTGGCCTTTTTCATCTGCTTTAAAGACTCTTGTCCTCGGCGAATGTGTTCCGGCTCTTGGATTGGTATAAACTGCAAAAATTCAAATGTAAACTGGCAAATAATTTACACCTTTTCTGTTACGGAAAGTTTGCTCATTGGATCTTCTGTATAGTCCACATTTGCTCCGAGATTTTCTTGCCGAATCTTCTTAAGTTCGTCCACAATCCACGGCTGGACCGGTCGAGTCGTCGCTGATGTTATTCGAGTGAAACCCGTTGGTTTCCGAATGGCAAAAGCGGCTGAATCCATCGTGGATAATTTCCGCGCCTGATTTCCCGCCAAGTGAGAATGGAATTCGCGCTCACAAAACAGGCTAGAAAATGTGATGGTTACGGCCCCACCCCCATACCCCTCCCCATCATTTTTTAAAACTTCAAATTTATATGTGTTAATTTTATTAGTTTTATTCTGGTTTTATTAACTTTTCTTTCTTAAATAAAAATTTTTCTGCAATCAAAATTTTATTTTTAAAATAATCTACAACTACCTCGGTTATTCATTTTTTTTCTTTTTATGAGTGAAATTATTTTTATTGAAACAAATTAATTTAGCTTTATGTTGCTTTATGTGATTAAAATTTGTCATATAATTGTAAATTTGTTTTAAATGAAGTATTCAGGTGCAAGTATGCATTAATTTTTACAATTTTATTTTTAAAAGAGTACAAAAATAGCTACAAAACATCATTAGAAATCGGATACAAAATGTTTATAATGTTTTTTCAACATACAGGATAAAACAATTTTTTTATCCGTACATAAACTAGCAATATATTCATGTTCCCACTTTCTAAAATAATTGATGTAGCTAGTTTGAAATTTATTAATTCCTTATACATCAGAACTCACAAATAATACATACTTTTTGGTTTCGGTCTCAATGATTTGCCTCCATATACGAATTCTCGAAATCGCTTACAATTAACAAATAAAATTACTACGCGTTACAATAAAGTTAAAAAACATGAAGAAGCGGAGAGAGATGACTATCATTATAATTAAGCACTACGCGCGTAACTTTTATTATAATTTAAAAAAAGAATTGGACAGTAAAAAATAATTAAGCCGTCGCTATATTGCTGAGAGTTACATAAATAATATAAAAGAATATGGTTCGCATATATTTATATAAGTTAATGCAAGAGTTTAAAATCAAAATCATTATGTGATAGTTGGTCTTATTGGGAGTTTCCTTTTGACTGGGTTGCCTTGTTTTCGGTAAAATGTTATCCCGTCGTAGAGTGATGATTTGTTCAATCCATGACTGCCTCTCCTGCGATTTCTTCCTCTGCTTCATCGTCATACTCTTCACCAGCAAGTGCTTCCTAAAATTTGAATACAGAAATTTAATAAAATATAAGATGAATTATTTTTTGCAGATTTTGATTAATTTTTGTATGATAATTTTTTTTTTTTATAATTTTTGCAACACATAAAAATGTTTTATTTTCATAAAGACATAACAATAAGCAATATGTGAATGTTCTCTTTCTCTTTAATTTAATTTTAATTAATTTAATATTTTTAAATGGTGATTTTTTGTTCTTGATAATCAATAGCCATTAAATTGCATACTGTTATTTTTCTAAATTTTATTAAATTCTTAACTATTTTGTTTTTAAATATAAGTGATTATCTTCAAAATGATAATCTCCAAAATACAATTGGATTCCTTTTTTTGCAGAATTTGGAATTGCAAATTGTTGCAAATGAAATTATACCTGGTACTGCTGGTATTCAGAAACAAGGTCGTTCATGTTGCTCTCAGCCTCTGTGAATTCCATGTCGTCCATGCCCTCACCGGTGTACCAGTGGAGGAAGGCCTTGCGACGGAACATGGCTGAGAATTGCTCAGAGATACGCTTAAAGAGCTCTTGGATGGCGGTCGAGTTGCCGATAAAGGTGGCGGACATCTTGAGGCCGCGGGGCGGGATGTCGCACACGGCCGTCTTCACGTTGTTCGGGATCCACTCGACAAAGTAGCCGCTGTTCTTGTTTTGGATCGACAGCATCTGCTCGTCGATCTCCTTCATGGACATGCGGCCACGGAAGATGGCGGCCACGGTCAGGTAGCGGCCGTGGCGCGGGTCGCACGCGGCCATCATGTTCTTGGCGTCGAACATCTGCTGGGTCAGCTCGGGCACGGTCAGCGCGCGGTACTGCTGGCTTCCCCTCGAGGTCAAAGGTGCAAAACCTGACAATGTGGTAAAAAATGAAATGAAATTCGATTCAATTTAAATTTTGTACTCATTATCAAACTGTGCATGTAATTTAATAGAGAACACAACATGAATTAGAATTTTGAATGAACAAAAATAGCAATTTTTAAGACATTCAAAGCTATTTAAAGTAAAAATATAATTTTTGTTTGAGGCTTCGCCTCCAAATTTGATTTAATTATATTTAAAGAGATAATTAGATAAAAGGAAACGCCATTGAATTAAGAAAAAAAAATCTTATCTCATTGATAAATAGAAAAATAAAAATACTATCTTAATAAAATGAAATAATTGTGTAGTTTCAAATTTATAATTATTTTTCATTAATAGAAAATTTTATATTTTTTTTTACCTGGCATGAAAAAGTGGAGACGGGGGAAGGGCACCATGTTAACGGCCAGTTTGCGCAAATCCGCGTTCAGCTGGCCAGGGAAGCGCAGACACGTGGTCACGCCGGACATGGTGAGCGACACCAGATGGTTCAGGTCACCATAGGAGGGGTTGGACAGCTTCAGGGTCCTGAAGCAGATATCGTAGAGGGCTTCGTTGTCGATGCAGTAGGTCTCGTCTGTGTTTTCGACCAACTGGTGCACCGAGAGGGTGGCGTTGTATGGCTCCACCACGGTGTCTGACACCTGAAATCAGAAATAAAAATTGAAGTTTCTGCGATCAATCAAAGTCATCCTAAGATATCTGAAGTTTAATGAATCTCTATTTTTTACAACCCATTTTTAATTTCTTTATAAAATGGCAGTACAAAAATAAATTGTCAACCACATCACCTTCACCTTGTAGCAGATGAGATTGTAATAATAATATAAAAAAATTAATTTCTGCAACGAAGTTATTATTACTTTATATAAAAAATTCAATCGCTTTTTATATTTATTTAGACAAATATATATTTCAATATTTTTTCTCTTCAATTCTGTGCCAAAATGAACAATGAAATTCATTTTTATCTTAGATTAGCTTGATAAAAATTATTTTACTATTCATTGCAGAGAGTAATAGTAATTAGTATCAGATAAAGTGCAGCTTAATTATTAGGAGCGTGATCATAATTTATATAAAGCAAACAATTTTCAATCATCATTTCTACTCCACTCCTCAATTTGGTTTCATGGGAAATGCAATTTTATCCTCGGTTTATTTTGTGGCCGTGCAACTCATTTCCAATTCTGCACGCTTTGCGAGCTTCTAAATGAATGGCTTTTTCATACATCATTCAAATTGCTACGTATGAAAATTGTTCTTGGGTATGCTCCATTTAATGCGAGAAGCGCCTTCGAGAGGTGACTGGCCACTTTATTGAATGTAGACCTAGCCGAGCGGAGCTCATCTGTGAAAGGCACCTTCCTCTTCTTCTTCGCCGTGTGGCGCAGACGCGAATGGATTTAATTTGGGTTGAAGAAGAATTTCAGTTCGCTCACCGAATGGAACTGAGTCCAGTTGAAAAGCAATTAAATACAAGGATTCAGATTTTTTAAATTAATAAAAAAAAACACGCTCTGTTCGACTTGAATGGCGTTAAAGAGGGCACTTTGCTTTTTACTGCAAAAAAGACAAATTGCATGCTTTGAGCACTTGCAGCCCCGTTTGCGACGATGAGGTACTAAATTGTTTCACCTGAGCTGTATATTATATCTAATTCAATCGACACACAATTTATGGCGGCGAATCCCAGAGAATAAGATATAATTTGATTAATTTATTATTGCAAGTTGTTCCGTCGTGCTTCATGAGCAAGCAATAAACCTTCAATTGAAGATAAGTAAGAGCAATTCGACATTTTATCAGACATAAAATCATTCGAACAAACACGAATTATAATTTATAATATTAGTTTTTCATATTTTCATTGAGAAGAAAAAATAATACCATTCTTTTATCAGCATACAATTATGCAATTATTGATTTAATACAAATTGGAGGGGGATGGGGTAGAAAGTTAATTTTGAATATTATTTTTATTTAAATCGTTTGTGACAAAGAAAAGGCACAGTAATTTAATTGAATTAGAGTTTCAAATTCAGAAGTATGGGGTAAAAATCTCTAAACTTCTGACAACCTTATGACAGAATGTACACAAATAAATCAATACGTTTAAGATTTGTGAAAATTTGGATTATAATTTTCTTTTCAAATAAAAGAAATTTTCTTGTCTGTTCTTGTGGAATTTATGAGTTAAGTGAGTTAAAGAATGTACAAGAAAAAATTGTAGTGAATTATACCAAGAATTATGTTTATGTTATTGAATATGGATCATTCAATTGAGAATGTAAAAAATGTTGAATACTTGTGCACTTGAATATTAATTAATTGCTATAATTTTAAAAACAGCAGCAAGCAATCAATCAAAGCACTTAACAATAATTCCCTGGGAAATTAAAAACTACAATTTTTAATTTCATTATTAATTCTATTAAATTATAGCTGTTTAATTGTTTATTTTGTCCCAATTTGAACATTAAAGGTGTAAAACTGCAGCAAAGAACTTTTGTTATTTGTATCAAAATACACAGGAAACTTTTAAAGCCACACATTACTCCTTCCTTGTGGTTTAATTTTATAAGCATTATTTTATAGAGAATTAATACACATAAGCAATTGATTTTTTTTATGTTTTCTTCCTTTCCCTCTAATTAAAAAAAAATTAAATTCTACAAAGTAATAATTTGTTCCAACTGACCTTTGGCGAGGGCATGACGGAGTAGGTGTTCATGATGCGGTCAGGGTATTCCTCCCTGATCTTGGAGATGAGCAGGGTGCCCATTCCGGAGCCGGTGCCGCCGCCAAGCGAGTGCGTCAGCTGGAAGCCCTGCAGACAGTCGCAGTTCTCGGCCTCCTTGCGCACCACGTCGAGCACCGAGTCGACCAGTTCGGCGCCCTCCGTGTAGTGGCCCTTGGCCCAGTTGTTGCCGGCGCCGCTCTGGCCGAAAACGAAGTTGTCAGGCCGAAAAAGTTTGCCGATCGGGCCCGACCGGACTGCTTCCATTGTTCCTGGCTCCAGATCCAGGAGGATGGCGCGAGGGACGTACTTGGCTCCTGGAACAATGAATCCCTAAAGTACTGCACTTGAAGCAAAAGATATAACAAATATATTAAATTTCTAACACGGGAAAAATGAGTTTTGTTTTACTCTGGGTTTATTTAATTTTCATTATGAAATTAATTACTGCTGATAAATATTTGAGAAAAAAATAAGCAAAATATTTAAAATACTCAAATTACACAGAAGCCTTGAGCCTAACAAGTATGAAACAATAGAAAGCTCTCGAATTAAAATGAATTTAAAAATCCAAGTTTTTTAATGTTGTAGATAAAATTATTAAAAATTTACACTCTAACAAGAGCAAATAAGCCTTAAAAGCTTCAAGGATAGAAATCATTCATGATTGACCGCAAAAAGTAACAAGTCGAGAGTAAAAACATTTTCAAGAAATGCAATACGCTTTTCAGCATTATTATCGTTCAGAGACAGAGCAAAGAGGGCCATTAAAGTAATTGCAGAGCTTTTGCTGCGCGCCACATTCCTCTCAATTCCTTTCTCCTTTTTATAATATGAATTTTTTCGCATAAATAATGCAGAGGTATGCAGCAGAGAGTCAAGTGCATTAATTTCCTCTGCTCTCTTACCAGAGGCCTCGTTGTAGTAGACGTTGATGCGCTCCAGTTGCAGATCCGAAGTGCCACGGTAGTTGCCCACGGGGTCGATTCCATGCTCGTCCGAGATGACCTCCCAGAACTGCGAACCAAAGGAAATGCCGATCATTTTTATTACTTTTTCCTATTATTTCTTTTTTGTGTGCAATTATATTTCGTCTCGAAAATCATGCCGTTAGTTCCTGAAAAAAAAAAAATATTTCAGTCCCTTTTAATTGATAGATTAGAGAAGGAAATAAAGCGCGTTGGTCCCTCAGACCCAATTACGGCCGCAGATTGCCTCTCGATCAATTGATCAATTTGTTGTTCATCTCTCGCGTGGCTCCTTTCTTATACGATTGATTGATTATTCTGATTAGCGATTTGTGCCGGGCGGCGTGCTTTGTACTTCTCCTTATCGACACCAAAGTGACTCTTTTTGAACGTCAGCAGTCGTGATTTTCTTTTGATGAACTCACCTCGATCTTTGCACGATTTGTTTATTACTTTTTTCTAAACAAAAAAAAATAAAATAAAATAAAAAAACATAAAAAAAGGAGGCTGGTTATTTTTTTCTAATTGTGAAAGAAAACAAAGTAACTTTTTTTAACTTAAAACACAGAGACAATGTGATTTTGTGATGGATATTAAATTATTAATTTCCTGTATTTAGTTTAAAATATTATGGAAATACTACAATTTTTGAATTAATTAGAGTTAAATCAATGCTCCTATTATATATTTAATTCAGGGAATTAGTAAATTAGCAACTTAAATTAAAATGTTTTCAAATCTGAAAAATGGATATTATAATTTTTTATTTTTTAAATGAAAATTTAAAGGGAATTAGATATCTCAAGATTTAAATGCAGACGAAATAATCCAGGAATTTTATTAGCGTAAAATTGGGAGCAAATTTATTGAAATTTAAGTCAGATCTTTGACTGACTCTCGGAATCCCGTTTATAAATTCGTCACAAATTAAATGTAGGAGCAATTTATTATTTTATTTTTTCAATTTTAAATCCCCTGGAGAGTTGTGCGTCCTCAGCATGTCTTGGCAACTCTTGGGAAACTCGGCTCTTTTCCTTGTCATTGCTGGCAGGCACATCACTCTGTACACCAGTTGAGAAAAAAATTCCCCAAGATTGCAAGTATTAATTTCTCTCGCCTTCTCCTCTTTCATATTGCGCCTGCCTAGCTGCCACGGTATGATATCAGATTATTAATTCTGAAGAAAGGCGACGAGTAAAATAATGAAAGAGCCAAAGGTATGTGTGCTTGTCATCGCGAAATAAAATATGCCACACTCCATAACACGATAATTATTACAATTATTTGCTCCCCGTGTTAAAATTTCTGCTTGCCGGCGCACAATTAATTGACGCCTTACAAAACCTGCCAGCACCCACACACAACTCTCGCGCCAGAGAGGAAAGCGGCAATTTGTATGCAAACTAGCTACGCTTTATTAAAATAATGTATACGAAATGGCATAGCATTTTTTTTTCGAAAATTTTTTTTAATTAAATTATTTGAAACATTTTTTCAAATCAAAATACGTGTATAAAACAACTATATAGATTTTTTCAATAGTTAATTCTCTGAATATAAACTATTTCAATTTAATTTCTTGGGAAAAGACTTATGTATTTTTGTAATTTATTCATTATTTATAACGTAAACATTATTGACATAAACAAAATCGCTCTACTATTTTACCATAGAGCTAATTAAATTATGTTAATTCTGATTCCTGGAAATTGTAACTTAATCTTTTTGGTATCATAAGCGTATTCATAACTATTGTACTATAAGCTAATTAATACCAATTAATGAGCAAATTGAACTTTCTACAAACGGTTTTACGTTTTACTTAAAGCAATATAAATAAGTTAATGAAATTTTATTGTATTCACTTGTGATGGCCTTAGTTTGTAAATGCTAAATAGCAATCATACAATATTAAATTTATATATCCTAATAACTAATAACGCATACAACTCCCAATTTCCCAATTAAAAATTAAATTTAAGATGCATATAACTCTTTCTCTTGTCATGAATTAAATTCAAATAATCTAACTGCAGCGTGCGTTCACCGATAAAATCTCTGCTGACGGCTGCATTGTCTCGCGGAAAAGGGAATTCGATTTGAACGCATCTAATTACCAGAGTGAAAAATGAGCGCGCGGATACATCTGACGAGTGCATGCATTTGTTTAATTAACTCGTGGCGGCGGCGAGAGTAGATGAATTTTTTCGCGTATGTTCACCTGGCTTGTAAACTACATGGCGTGACGAGAGAAGCTCATCACAGCTGCGCTCTCTGCAACATAAAACGAAACATACGAACGCATACCTCAGGTCAAGGTGCCGTTAATAATGAGAAAAGTGCAATAAATAAGAGGCAAAGTGCATAGCTTCCAAATTTAAATAATGTGAATTACCAAAAAATTGCTAAAAAAAAATACCAAGTTTATCGCAATTAAATCCACCGATTATTTTTTATCAATTTGTATTATATTATATGTGCGTTCAAAATTATGTCAAATAATTTAAAGAATTTTAGGAGTAAAGCTTTAAATTCAATTTCTAGCGCATTTTAGCAAGTTTGTTGGATTTAAGATCACAAGTTTGTTCGGGAAAGTTCTAAAGACATTGAATTCATTTTCACCAAGAAATATTTTTTTTAACTTTTGTTTAAAAACTTGTTTGTATTTCTCAAATTTATTACAACACAGAAAAAGGGTTGTATCTGTAAAGCACCGTTTTGTATAATTTCAACACCCTTCCTTTATTGAGCCCCTATATTTATTGCACAGGGTTGCATTCCGAACAGGGAACTGCTTTTAAAACTCGCGGTGATTCCAGTCGGTGGGAATGCTGGGAATTCGATTTGTACTGCAGCGCAGTATCCAAAACACAGAGCAAGCGTCGAGACTCTTCTGTGTGGGTAACAGATGAATATTTGTTTCCGTACGTGTGCGTGTTGGTTTGTACGAAAATAAAACCGGAGAGTGCCGCTAAATAAGGCTTCAATGATATTGCCGTTGAGAGAGAAGCGAACGGGTATATAACAAAAAACGCAGGGTGCAGGATGTCTGACAATGAGAGAGTCTCTCCAAATTTAGCCCTTTAAAAATAGTGGCGGACTACTTTGCAGCCGACGACGAGACGCGCACGCAGCTGCACTCTTTTTGCTGGAGAGCAAGAAAGAATTAAAGCACCCTCGCTTTTAATTAACCGACGAGGACGTCACACGCTCGGAAATTGAGTCGCGCGCATATGCGTGGAGGGTCTTTCCAGGCGTTCTCATTTTTCATATTTAATTTTATATAATTTACTGCCTCTGCGGTTGCCTGATTAATATTTCTTTTGACAGCCGACGACGCAGCGATTTTTAAAACTCGCACGCACTTAACAGGCTCAATTTAAATGTCATTTTTACTCTTATTTTCAACCACATCGATCATTCACAAAAAATTCCATGTATAACTCCACACAGAGAAAAAATATTGGAATTTATCAACTCCGATGAATTAAAAAATTCACCCAAGAGCAAATTTTATAGCTGAAATTGGCAATATAAATGAGATAATAATTTTAATTTTCGAGTCTATCTAACTCTCTATTCTATAATTTAAATAGTATACAAATTATTGTTCAATAAAGATTTTGATGTCTGATTTTCTGTTACAAAATAAATCATTGACAAAGGACAGTTTCGTAAAGTGGCATTATTAAGAAAGGAGAGCTGAAATTAACCTAATAAAATTAACGCACATATATCTTATCCCCGTTTTTTTCTTTCAGATTTCCTGATATATTATTAAATAAATTACATTTAAAAATTGTAATAAACCTCTTTAAGAGAATAATCTTTTATTTCAATCATATTATTTTCTAATCCTTAACATTGAGATTATTTATTATTCAGCTTTTCCATACATTTTTCAAAATCTGAGCTGACATTGAACAAAATCCTTTTTTGTCTGTCAGAAAGAAAGTGACGAAATTAAGCGTTGCAAAGCAAATTTGCATAATCCTCGGCGGCGACGCGAGTATATAGCAATTACTTCCACCTAACGGACGCGTGTAAGAAAAAAAATTATGGACTCTCTAAAAAACCGACGAACACCCTCAAGTGCTTTCGCTTTTTTTTGTCACTCACCCGTCGTCATCAGACTATAGCCGATTTGCATAATGAGTCACCGCGCGCAATTGCACCTGACCCTAAAAATTAGGATGTGAATAAAAAATGAAGTACACCCGTTTACTTGTGAGAGAAGAAGGCACTCGAAATGTATGCCATTGTATAATCGCAAATTAATGGGTGACTTCCGCCGGCGTTTCGGCTCAAAACTTTTCTCTTTCTTGTTATAATCGCGCGGTGGCGGGCGCGCGTTCAGATCTCCTCCGCCCTGTTCTTGATGTGCAATAAATTTATTTGCAGCTCCTCTCTCGTGCACCAGTCACGCCCTAATTATATGCGTTTTATTTTCAGCTGTCACACGGTGCCCCAGCGAGAATGAACCGTTTGCTGTTGTGTTTTATAGCGACAATATTGCAATTTAAGTGCGTCACAACGGTAATCAATCCTTTCCTTTAAGGTCGCTAATAACCAGCTCCTTCCTTCCTTTTTCGATAATTTTTTTTATTTTTAAAGTGGATTTGTTTCACGAGTTGCGCAAAAAACATAGTGCAGCACTGAAGATTTAGAATAGGGAATCATATAGATCCTTGATTTCTATAAATTTTAAAATAGAGTGGTTAAATTTAACATTGCTTATTTGATTGTCCTCTTCTTTTCATATCATCCTTATTTTTAAAACTGAACTTTTTGTCGTGAGTTACATTTAAAATTAATTTTAAACCTAGTAATTTTTATATAAAAAACATCTTAGTGTTTTGAATTTTTATTTATCTTGGAACTTATTTTTATTAAAATTCTACACATGAATTATTTTTATTTTACAGCATTTGAATTAAATGTCTTGAAAGCTTGATTTTTGTCAAAATTTTGCTCAAAATTTTAAATGATCAAAGTAAACATTCTTTTTTAAACCTTTTAAATAAGTCTTGTTTGAATTGCTGCTAGCTG